GTCAATTAAGTGAGCTCGAGCCCAATTATATTCAGTAACACTATATAAAAAGTCTCTGAAGAATTTCTGTAGATGGTGCTGGCGTCCGGAATCGCACTGAATAAATTCGAAAAATCACCAGATAAAATCATGAGAGAGTGTGTAGGCACAGCAATTATATCGAATCCGAGCAGCGTGCTGCCATAATATTCGTAAACTCGCACCGCCGTTGTTGGTCTTTAACGCTGTATTACCGACGGTTGGTTAAGTCGAGCGTGATAAAGACACGTAGAGCTACCTGCGCCCCATCTAGTATTCGCCTAGGGTGCGCGTTCCGATGGGACACTGGATATTCCAGAGATGGCACCGGGATTCTCCCAAGGGCTTACTAGGTTACAGCCTGGCGAGCTTTCCGTCTGGGATGGAATATTAATATCCATAAACTCCATCTCTTGATCCTCACGTCGACTCATCTAAAGCGCGCCAGTGCCCGCTTGTGATTATCTAATAATTGCGCTACCGGCGAAAGACAGCAACGGCCGGCTTGCGGAATATTAAACGGCACGGTGGTGGCACATGCATATTTATCATTAACGAAGAAAGTGGAAGCTGCGTGTTACGGGGGTTCACGAGGTTTCGTATGTTTCCGTAAGACATATCCGTGCGCTCGTGGAAATAGTATCATCTTCTCACAATTAAATTTTAAATTGTTCAACGTACAACTATACGGTTACTTATTATCGTGCGCGTGACGGTTCACGAACTGTTCCGAATCTATTTATATATCTCTTTCTTCGTTTCCAATCCATTACCGTAGTCTTGCGTCGTAGTAACTCCGCTCCTGGAACAGCACTAATCGTCTACTTGTTTCCAGCACGTTCCGTATAGCGATGGTGCTTAAGTCTCGTTTGTGGATCCTGTTGGGGAACGTTTAGGTCTCATCTGCTATTGGCCTACTGCAGTACAGAATCGCAGTCGCGCTTACGCCTCATTTACATCTGGACCCTCCATTCGGAGCACAATAATTGACTCGATATATCTCATCTGCATATACCATCAGTAGTATATTAAATTAACTGCGGCTATATACAATATATACGGTATAATGCATTCATTTTAATCTTTTTTCAAGCTCCCGTATACGATTGACGTATGGGTTTAGGCCAGGAATTAAATTGTTATTGTGACTAATTTATAATGGTTGGAGAGAGTGGTCGGAGTAAATATTTCACTGCTCTTTAGAATTTACGGTATACTCTCGTTAAATTTCCGCAGCTTCGAACAGACCCGAATGATCGCCGTTTGCACTCTTCTTCACGGTGAGAGATATCGACCGATTTATTATGACGCTTCAGCCAATTCAGGCACAACGCTGAAAGTTTGCTTCGCTGGAGCCGAGGTTTCAATTACATCCTACCTCCGGTGCTCTCGGAGGTGAATGGGCCACGGAAGCGCGTTTAAATTTGCATTTTAGTCTATAGTTTGAGCATCGCGAGAGTTCCCGATACTTTCAACTGAGACGTAGTTTCCGATGAGTACTTCCTGCTTTATACTATTTTTAAATAATTACAATTACATTTGCACAACAACTTTCTTTTAACGGTCATTAAACTGAGCAGTCAATTTTTATATGTATTACAGGTAACAGAACTTTACGTCTTGTGACGTCCCATGCGACCCATATGACTGTTATCAGCCACTTATCGAAAAAGACTTAAAACGGACGTTCAATAATTAAATATTTTTTCTTACCGTGAATTTCCCTCAAATAAGTCATCGTCCAGTCTCGATTTAATTGGCAAAAGGATTCGAACGCTAAGTATCTGTATCAAGTGAAGTTCGAGTCGCTCGAGAGTCTGAAAACTCATCCTACGGGCCAACTTCTCGCTCTGCCATTGGTCGGTTCTTATAATTTCTTGTCAGCGAGAAACGCGGAGAGAGTCGTCGAGGCGATGGGAGTGGCGAAGTCACGAAAGGGTTTTCACGTTGGACGGGGATCTTAATTAAAATATAATTGCTGGCGCTGCGACGTGATTGTCAATTACCTGTATAAGCGTCATCCCTAGGACGAGCACGAGGTCACGAGCAGTTTTAGGTATAGTCGAAGGTTCTTCGGTGTTCTGGGGTGTTTACGTACACGATTTTGTTTCGCGTCAATATAACCTCAAAAATTTAATGCTCTCGTATACAGCGTTAACTTTTAATGCCGGAATACGCGCGCGCGTGCATGCACGTTGTTTCGTCTATCGCTTCGTATTTTTCCTCTCTCTTTCCTCGTTTGCTTACAATATTTTTATCACCTTCGGGTCGTGGACCTATGTGAACCTGGCATTCGATTTATATAAAAAAAAATTTTTTTTCAAATACTCGATGTGCCAGTTCAACATAGGTGGGTCTTAGAGCTATTTGCCAAGAACGAACGGAGGCACGTTGACTTTATACTCGTATCGATGTCTGAATGAACGTGACGTACGGCGGCAGGCTTTTCCATTGTGCGTTCGGATAACGTGAGCCAATATGCAAATAAATGTCAGCGTTATTAGCAGGCGCCATGTGCCCAGCCAGATTGGTCAGGTCACGGGTTACGAGCTTATTTGAATACGAATACTCTTGAGTGCGTGACGAATTTGCACGCTTCAAAGCTTGGCAAATATTGTGAGCCGAATTCTTCGATTGCCGTGACAATTTCCTTCGTAGCTCTTTTAAATCAACCTTTACCACTGTGCACCACGAGAATACCACTTTTACTGTATTATGCAAGTTGATCTTTGCGAGAAATTTATTTGGCGAGGTAGTTCAAGACGTATTGCATACACGTTGATATGCGATTTACACGTGGAGTGTTTAAGAATCGTATAGAGGCGAATACATGAGAAGAGTCGATTCCTTGAAATCTTTCTGTATTTGTCGTACATCTGCTGCTGGAGTTTACACGAACCGGATGTGGTCCAATGGCTATTGCCAACGGCGACTACATCGCAGAATCTTATTCCACGAATCTTTTTGAATTCGTATCTCCTCAAATTAGATTACTCGGCAACAAATATCCTGGAGATGAAATGTATTTCTCACTACCCCATATTCCATCCTGACTCGTCGAGCAGAAGCGATGAGAACGATTTTCAAAAAATCAACTTTATATCTTAGCTGTAAATATATATTATTTTTGTGTTATACGTTCTTACTAAACGTCCATGAGGTTTTTTTTCTTTTTTTTTCCTTTTTTTTTCCGATGATATTTCGTTCGACGTCAACCATGCATATGCATGTGCTAAATGAACCAGGTGATTGCATCCTCTTGATTTTGAGGTATAACATGCGTACGCATAAACGAATGTGTTTCGTGTTATCCTATGCGCACACTTGCATGTATGTCTGTGCTAATATATAGATATACATTTACATCAGTGACGATTCCCGCCTGAAAAGGGCTGACGCCTGAAATAAGATAACTATTGACCGCTTAGGAACGAAGGGTGAAATCGCGTTTGGGTAAGAGAGTGAAAAGGAGGTCGGATAATAGGTTACCAGAGAGAGAATAGGAAGGAAGTAAAATAAACGCCAGGACCGACCTCTCGAATCAGCAAAGGACCGCCTGTGAGAAGGTAGAAGGTTGAAGCTAGAAGGGGGGCTGATGTTATTGGATTACCTCTGCCGGGCACGTTTCACCATATAATCCGAGCCTGGAGTAACCTAACTATGTTACTATGGGTGCGAACCTTGCCGTTCCATCTAACCCTTATACGATCTACCCTTCTGCGCTCGTGACTCTATGTTTATATACTGTTAGCTACCATCGTCTGGCAAGGGGTTTGTCTGTCCCCTTAAACCATTACGTCATTCTACGTTAATCTCAGTTTGGGATTGCCCTACGTCTCAACTTCACTTCTAACTCAAGTCCACTTTTGTACTTTTCCTTTCTTTGTTTGTTTTTTATATCACAAACAAAGATCGGACTGTCGTCAGTGGCCACGGCGTGGTTGAAATTATTTTTGATACAGACTGCCCATAGTTACAAGCTTTAAAGGGTTCGAGAATGCATAAAAGAAAGATTTACTTAGGTCCGTACTTAAAGGTTAACTATAGGGATACCGCGCGGCTTTTCTTGTGCTCGTAAAGATGCTCTAAGTGCTGCGACGAATCACACTGTCTGACAGACGAATGCACGGTCGAGAGGCTAATGTCCAGAGAGAGCTGGAAGCATTCCTGCATGCTTCGATCCACGCGATCCAGCCAGAAGAAAAGAGCGATCGTGCGAACGCAGCTAGAAGGGGATCGATGGAAAATCGGTAAGAAATGTCTTTGAGTATGAGCTTTGGATATATACGATTCGCGATAAGAAATCGCGATTTCTTAAGCGGAAGGAGTCAAAGCCGGAAATGTTTCAGATCGTATGTATAAGAAATTGCCCAAAGAAAGGAGTGCGAAGGAAGTAAAAAAAAAAAAAAAATAAGAGGGTACGTTATCGGCAATTCCTTTTCCCATGGAACCGAGCTCCACTTCGTCTTCCTGGAAGCAGTCCTGGTGCAAATTTAGCAAGGGCTACTGTATACGTGGAGCTTGACAGATGCATTTTATATCTTCTCCCCAGGTTAGCCTGCGCATAAGTGATCTCGACGTCAACTGTAAAGAAGCGCTTGCCAGGGTTGCTATGACAAATGACCCGCCAGACTGAGTCGTCTGCGGCGCGCCTGACCTCCGGTAACCCTGGGGTGGGATGCTTTAGTTTCCATGCGAATAGACGGTAGTTTTCACTCCCCTTTAACCTTCCGACGTTTCACCCTCTTTTGTATGGTCTTCGTTTCTCCCTGTTCCCCTCCCACCTGCATCCTCCTCGTTATGTCTCGGGACTTTGTCTCCTCGTCTCCCCGTTCGTCCTTCCCTACTTTCCACTAATATCAAGCCTCGCGATTACACTGCCACGCAAATGCCTAATACGAAACGCCTTGGGAGCTGGTGGCGTTTACCTCCGTCGTATATACGTGGCTTTGGATTTATTTGACAATTGATTTAATTTACAGCTCACACTGGTGGGATTAAACACTGTCGTCTCGATTGCCGCAGGATCTGAACGTTCTCGAGGTGTCGAGGCCCGATTCGTGTCGCTCGATGGGAAAGCCAAGTTAAGTCTCGCCCCCTTGTGTGCGTCGGAAAAAAGGCGATCACGCTGCTTCCGACTTGATAGACAAACCGATCTTTGTTTTACGAGGGACGGCGTCGTTGCTTTATCACGCAGTCGAGTCGGAAACAAGTAAATCAAAGGAGATAGATATACGACGTGACGATACAGTCTTCGCGGATTTATATTCTTCCTTAGGCACGCTCGTATTTTTCGTATTTTTCCCTTATATTTTTTTTTTTCGATTTTATTGTTCTACGAACAAACTCGAATATCGAGCCGAAATACAATTCTTTTTATTTTTTTCAGATTTTTTAATGCACTTATAGATGTTTGTATGTTGCCAATAAATCTTATTCCGATCATAGTATATCTCCGTTAATGTTATTTTTATATACGGAACATAGCTTCGTATTATGCATACCTTTTTATCGAATGTTTTTTTAGACCCAACACTGAAATTATATTGAGATAATAAAATAGTTGTACCGCACGAGAGTGATCGAACACCTCGTCCCGCATTCGAATCTACTTGATTTAACGTTCCATTTGGTGGGAGTCAAGTGGTCCTGGACAACCTAATCTAACGATAGGCTTCAACGACGAGGGGAGACTTAAAAACGTGGTAGAGATACAGCGAAAACAAATTTCCCAGCCTTTTACGAGGGGTAGATGGTGAAGGAGGATTGGGTTGGGAAAAACGGCTGCAGATATAAATTCGAGTGACGCCAAGGCGAAAATAGCTGCTTTGCATTCCGTCCGCTACGCTGTTAAAGTAATCAAACGCGATTTTACACATAAAGACTTTTCCAAGCGCAGCTAACAACTTCGTCAGCACGTCGTGCGTTTCCGGCTTTCAGCAACGGGTGTTTTCTCTTTCGCGGTCGCGCCGCACGTTTACGGTTGACGTTCGTTTCGTCATTAGGAAAGCGCAGCAGTTCGTGCACGCAGTACAATGCCAAAATTAGCACGTGGAAACAGTTAGCTCTAAATGAAAATAAATTGAAATCAAATCTGCGATGACTATATCTGCTAAGCGTGTCTTCTCGTTTCGCCGCAATTCAAAGGCCGTAACTGCCGGATGCTGCACGGTCTTTTATTCCAGCCAGATACTCACGGACAGAGAGTCGTTAAGTGAGACTGAACCACTAGAAAGAAGTGCCCTGTAACATAGAAATACTCGCTTGTAACGCTTGGGGAATGTGTGCTTTGTCGTGGTTAAATTGTACGAAAAAAAAGGACGTCAGAAGAACGTGATTACGGGCAGAAAAAAGTGAAAAAAAATTCTACCCTCTCGTACCGCCATTATTGGATTCTCTATAATACAGCACTTCATCCTTCAATTTTTCTCTTCTTTTTTCAGATATTCTGTACATCAATGAAAACATTGATTTTCAATCCTCTTACGTCTTTACTCCTGGTCCAAATTGGAGTTGCGTGATCTGGTTCATACGGATTTATGTTAAGGAGTATGGTATACCGATTCGTAATTTAGCAACGAATGTGAAGCATTAAATGTTGTCTTATAATAGAATCGACGATATTTCACATGAACTTATTCGTTTTTCATTGTATCCCATTTGTTCTCTGTGGATTCTTTTTGCATTATGTATACATATACGCGCATAATCGCCTTATCTAGTACTGACATATATGCGTGTATTGTATACGTATATATACCTATATCCTTACCGTGGCCCTGAATTGTGACAAAGTATAAAGCGCCTAAAGCCTTTACGATCCTGACGAAACTACTGGCTCCCATTTAATGGCCAATTGAACGTCGATCTGCTGGCAATAGCACGTGATGACGGGTAGATTATCACGCTCGACCGCGAGACTGTCGTCGTCGTGCCCTCTGGAATGACCCTACTCTACAGCCGAAAATGCGTGACAAGACAATCCGCAGAGAATTCCTTGCCATCACGTAGCTGCTGAATGGCTCAATCCTAAGCATCCTTGTACATCCAGTAGTGGTATCCAGTATCCTTGATCCTGTCGTTTCATATGGAAAACAAGAAAAGTTATCTTTTGCACTATATACGAGCCTGTGTATATTATACACAAAAGAGGTTCATCCTTTCATAGATACAAGCTTTTCCGAGAGGTTCAGATACAGAAGGGAGACCAGGGATCATTGTTATCTTTAAGCATCTTGAATTACGATATAATAAAGTTTCAATCCGGATACCTTTGAACTGACTCTTCTTCAATGGAGGTATACAATTCACCTTCCCGCAACTAGTTTCGACGGAAACTTATTAGATTCTACAGGTATACCTACGGCATATCGCAAAGTGCCTGAAATTTATCAGATAAAGGAAGCCAAAAATGGTTGCCTGATAGTCAGGATATAATATTTCGGAACGTATTAATAGCATTAGCGATTTCACGCTGGACCAAATGCAATTTCGATCCTCGCGTTACCCAGGTACCACTTCTTGGAACGATCCTCGTCGTAAGGACCTCATCGGAAGCTGTATTTACGGTATCTCTCTACACCTACGTGTACACAGGCTTGTATCTGCGAGGAGCCTGTCTCTTTGGGACAGATTATATTTGCCTTTCTTTATTACTATGGAAATAAGACATTTCTATGCTGATACCATATAGGGAGGCCAAAAGGAATTCGGGTAATCAATTGTCTTGCGTTGACGCACGTTCTAAACATGATTTATTACCACGTAGCATCTTAACTTCTTGCATCTTCTTAACTTACTGGCTATTTCTTTGCAATACTGAAAAATTTTCGACTTTCGAAGTACCGAGTACATTCGCTTGGTTCAACGGATTGGCTTAGATATTTTTTTTAAACGAACCTCCATATACCCAATGGTCAAGGACCCAGCGCAGTGCTAAACTTCGTCCGAGTATAATCCAAGTCCGAAACTCCTCACGACTGAGAATCAGCAGTCAAAGCGTTGTATGTCATTACTTGAGTGTGCATACACTAGAGCGCATGCAGCACAACTTGTTAACACGAGAAGTCGTCCCGTCCTCACTTCTCTCGAGTGTGTGCCGAGCGTCGCGACGTATTCTCGACATAGGTATGATTCTAAAGGGCGTTCATTAGGATCTAAGTACTGTAGAGGTATGTATTGCGCTCCCGTTTCGACTCACGTGACAAACCGTTCTTTTCAGTGCTTTTTATTTTCGCGTCTAATTGTACGACGATTGACAAGAGTGAAGTATTTTTTGGGTAATATTTATTTTCTAAAGAGTCTCGATACCGAAGCGTTGAAATGCCTATAGTACAAGGACGGGGGTAGTCCGTGGTGAAAATGTCGGATAAAAGAGCATGTCGGTAAGGCACTCGGTACACGCAAACAGATTTAGACAGGAGTAAGCGCACTTGGGCTAAACGTATGTAAATACACACGTGGAATGCGCCGCTCGTGGCGCCTCGCAGCATGCAAAGTAGGCAGTTGACAATGGGCGACACGCGAGCTTATCCCTATTCAAATGGGGGTAGCAGGTATCTCTATATAATCTTGAAACGAAGACGTATTTCACTTGATTCCCACGTACAGCATCCGTCATCGTTTTGAAAACTGATTTTTTTTTTTCCATAATCGCCATGCTTTAAATTTTATATAACAGGTATCTTTTTCATATATACTACAGGAACCGGAAATCTTTGACCGACGGGCTCTTGGATCGTGTTTATGAATTTCACGCTCATTTTTTTCTGGGTTACTGTCAAACGCATTCGGACGTAGCTTCATATGTAGGATATACGGGGATTCCCCTATGTCGTTCAATCGATCCTGTACGTTCATCCTGCTTCTTTCGGACGTCAGGAATCTCCTATAGGAATACAAGGTCCATTGCGTATATATATCAAGTCTTTCTCTTGCAGTATTGTTTACGCGTCTATACGTGAACGGAAACAGAGTTGATCTCCGGTCTTGTGGATTGAACTTTTTTTTTCGGAGATTTTTGAGTATCGGTACCAGGGGGTGGCGTAGTTTGTTCCTGCTGTTCTTGGAAGATTTTCCATCGACCAATCTGCTGTGGTAATCGGCTGGTACTCTGTCTGGTTCTACGGAATAATGCTTGTAGTTCTGGAGCAGCAGACAGGGTAGCAGTGGATACAGCGAGTTGGCGCACAGTGTTGAGCAATGTTGATAAATAGTCAAGAGTGTCGCGCTACTAAGGGTGGCATGAGATGAGGTGAAACGACGGGGGTAGGTACTACGAGATGATCATAGGGTAGGATAGAGGCTGTGCTCCAGCTCGAAGACAATGAAGGATGCCACATTAATATTCGTGGCATGCGGCGCCTAGCTCTCGTTCTCTCGCCAGGACTTCCGCTGGAGGCGGCTCGTGCGCCAGATTGCGATCACAACAGCTTCGTTAATTACTAGATCGTCCGTCCTCCTTGCGCAGCAGAGAGACTCTCTAGCGAGCGTCATCATGGTCCTCGTTCCCATGCCGCGTACAGCTTTGCTACCGTTCCCCGTTATAGCTTCGAGTGTTAAAGCGAAATCCCCGGTCGGCTATTCAGCCAGTCGCGAAGTGACAGCAAGAAGAGCGCGACGCAATTTCCGCGATTCGATTTCCTACGGTAACTTCTAATTTTCTAATACTACGAAAACAGCCTTCGGCGTTTCGGTCTTATTCGGTATGTGCATATACATATATATGTGCAGTCATAGCGGTACTATCCGCGTCGATCTTTCTTCGGCAGCTAACTCGCTTACTTTATTCGTAGGAGTCGCGGCGAGCGTAGAATTTCAAATATCTGTTTTGCATTCCGACGCGATCCCTCTCTCTGGTAGCAACGTGCAACGGTTAGACTGGATTGCTGACTAGGAAATTTATACTTAACCATTCAGACCGCGGTGACGGTAATGTCGTTTCGAATGGGCCATTGGTTTCGGTTTCCTTTTCCTGCCCTTTGCCGCGTCGCTCCTCGTGAAAAACTTGACTGCCATTTCCCGAACGGAATCGAGTGCCCGGACTTCCTCGCACGCGAATGGGATTTCTACGATCGCGATGGGAAGAAGTCACTTGTGCGGCCAGGAGAGAAAATTCTATCGGTTCGTACCGATCGATTACGTTGGTCCCTTTTTTTTCTATCGTTTTTTCTCTCTCTCTCTCCTTCGATACCCTCGCCTATCTCCGTCCTTCTTCTTCTTCTTCCTACTCTCCTCCGTGCATTATCAGATCTCTCTCGCGCTCCCTCTGCCTTCGGTTCCGGCGTTTCGACCGCGCGAGCGTGGCTGAGGGCCTCTCTCCTCCACGCGGGTACACCGATAATTGAACATACATCAAGGGATAGCGGCGGTAGATAATTCTGCGGGCAATTTAAGGCTTTTTCGGTATCGCTGATATAAATTCAGTAAATACCGTCATTAAAGCCAATCC